AACAGGGGTGCGACTCGTTTGCGCACATTTACCTTTTTACGACACGATTACGCACAAAATCACAACTCGTTTGCGCACACATATTTTAGGTTTAAATAATAAAGGTACAACTCGTTTGAGCATATTTCCTTTCTTTTGCTTAATTTTAATTAATTAATAGACTGTATAAAATAATAATATATGTGCATATTGTATATATATAAATTAAGATTTAACTATTTTGCATTTCTAAGTATTTGTTATATAATTTAACATCAAGCGACCAGATATCGGCGAGAATAAGATATATATACAACAATATAATACAGATAAAAGTAATAATAACGTCAATGATTATACGTGTAAACAATATTGTCAATTATTAATTTAATATTACAAAAATTAAAATATTTTAAAAAATATGCTTTGTAGGTTTAATAAATAATAATAGTAGTCTATTATAAAATTGTACTAATTTAGAATGGTGGCATTTAAGTCCAATTTTCTTTATATAAGTTAAACGACTAATAATATTATTTTTATATTCATTCCAAATGTTTTCCAATTGTATCTCCTTATTAATTATCTCTTTTCTTTTGAAATTTATGATTTTATTGTTTATCGAATTAATTTTTAAATCAGTGTCACTTTGAATTTCAATAATGACGTCGATTACTTGATGTATGTGCGGATGAGCAGTGTAAAACTGACTGTTATATTGTTTGTGATAACTCTCTGCACCATTAGTATTCTTAGGATTATTAGTAGGTTTACAAGCCCATAATGTTGAAGGAAAATTGCTGTCCGATACAATGTAATTTTCTAAAATATAATCGAAAAATATAGAAATATTACTAGACGTAGTACTTGGTGCTATCGACATAAGATCACAAAATCCATCAGAAACTTCGTCAGGAGGTAAATAACTTATTCCAAAAAAACATTTCATCCATTTGCCAACTTCTGAGTCGTTGTTTAAGTACTCGCTCGATAATAATTTATGTTGTTGAATATGTCTAAACCAATTTTGCCCTAAATGAAAGTTACAACACGTAATTTTGCAGTAAGGGAAAATTTGCAATACTGCATTATGCACAGATTTTTCAAAGTTGACATGAAAATTGATTAAATTTATTATATTACCAGTAATTTGAATACATATATTTTGTAATGTTTTCCACATATTGATGTAAGTATCAGTATGTTTGTTACTTAAAAAACAAAACGCCACAGGAACATAAAAATTGTTTTTAAATACGTGAACAGTATAAAGTTGAACAAAATATTTCGGAGCGAATGAAAATGTCCCATCCCCTAAAACATGTTCTGCACTTTATAGCAATTCTAAATTTTGTTTACAAGTAAATATAAATATATTTTCATCATTACTAACGAAAGAAAATTTATTACCTTTGTAAGTAAGATTATGCTGATCATCAACTAATTGTTTTTTAGCATCTTCTATAGATCTCGGTATGTTTGGAAAGGATTTTTTTCGTTTTTCATACATGGATCTTCGAATTAATTTCATATCGCTATATTGAAGATGTTCGGAGTTATCATTGTTTTTCAATTCCCGGCGTATTAGTTTATTTGGTGTAATATGTAAATCCTCTTCAGCTCTACGTTTCAATTTGCTTCTTACTACTTCTCGATGAATTGTTCGGTCATCGTACTCGTCATGGGTATGCGTGTTTGTCATATTTAAAATTTTATATGATTCATTAACTAACCTAACTACAGCACTTACGGAACATTTTTTATTTGTACACCTAAAATGTTTATCGCCAAATTTTAAAGTTCGGAATTTTCTAAATTTATAACTTTCTATGTTTAAACATTTTTTTCCTCGACGCGTTTCAAAAACATCACAAATTTCGATATCCATAGTCAATACAGTTAGTAGTTATAGTACAGCTTTCTGGCAAACGACTGTTTAAAAGTATTACGCTTTCCTAATACACGACGATTATTTTAAATCATTGTATATTGATATTGATATGCTGGTAATTTGTGCTGATAATTTGTACCGATAATTCAATTACTTTAGGTAAGTCCAAATTTAAAAATATAAAATACATGTTATTTAGTGATTATGTTGTGCGCAAACGAATCGTCCGTTTACAGGTAAACGACTGATTTCGTTGTGCGCAAACGAGTCATCGATATTCAGGTAAAAAATTTAAATTGTGCGCAAACGAGTTGCACCGCAGAAACAGAACTGTAAGCTGTATAAATAACAGGTACATACTACAAGTCATACACCAAAATACCTCCAACTATACACTTTTACGTGTCAATAATAGTCGATTGTATAATGTTTTTTTTTTTTTTTTAATTTTTTTTTGACAATTTAAAATTTGTTTAGATATACGGACTGTGGATGAGCACAGCCCCTAGGGCCTTCCCCCTCGAACCACTCCTGACTGTTACCTAAACTATATACGATATTACATTATATTGTTTGTGGTGTTCCTCGATTGTATTATACGGAACAAAGTTTACGGTTTATTGGTAAGTTAAATGAACAGGTATGCAGTATGCTATATGTGTGGCCGGAATCAGAGAGGATACAAATATATACATGTTTTGAAACATGTCGAATAACACGTTATTTCATCGGGAAAACTGAATAAAAGATAAAATTATTTTTTTACTTTATATTGCATAACAGTATTTGCAGTGTCAAAATATTTCACTTAGTTTTCTATATTAATTATGATTTTCAATTTTATAATTTAAATATTAGAAAAGTTTTTTTTATGTTATTTATTATCATTTTAAAATGTAAGAACTCACCTCAATTATTTTAAAATGTTTTGTGAATAATATAAAAGGATAATTAATATTTATTGTTAAAATACAAATAAATTAAAAATTATTAAAGTTGTTTTAAAAACTGCTTTCACCACCATACTTGCCATATAATCAATAAAACATGATGGAAATTAAATTTAGTTGCCTTTCAAACATTTATAAATTATACAAAACTAAACATTTACCACATTGTTTCAAAGCTACTGGACTTCGGTGTATTAAAATAAACATAATTATTAATTTGTAATTAAAACTATTGTTATAAATATAAGTAATAATACAAATACCATAAATACTGTTATGACGTAAAAGATTATTTACCGATCATAAAATTAATGAAAACATTAATTTTTTTAAGTCTACATCTACAATATTAAATTTAATCATAATTTTTCCAAATATATTTATGTGTATTTTTTTTAAATCAACTTGAAAGTTAAAGTTTTCAAAATATTCTATATTAACGCTAAAAGCATTTCAAACATAAATTCAATTACTGATTTTGATGTATTTTGATCAAATATGTTTCTAACAGCAAACCCCTTTGTAGAGTCAGTATATAAGCTATATTGGTTTTACACGATGTAGAGATGTTTACTACTCTTGACATTTTCGTATTGGCAAAGATTGTAGACGTAACTTTAGCATTAAAATAACTTTTAATTACGCACCTTCACAAATTTATTCAATTTTAGGTCATTAAAATAACTAAATATTCAGAGTAATAATTTATGTAATAATACAATTTACATCTTCTTCTCCTTCGCCTTTCTTTCGACTATTTGGGGTCGGCCACCCTTGTCCTAAGCTTCCACTTGTCTCGATTTTTTACATTTCCTACGCATACACCAACAGCCCTCATATTCTTAATAGTATCTTACCATCTCTTTTTTGGTTTAGTTCTCATAATAATTCAAAATTTATTATTATGTACACATATATGTATATATTATGAAATATCTACATATTATGAACTCTGGCCAAACAAATATTGCTATAATGACATTTAATCATACGATAAATATACTTATATATATATATATTTATCGTATGTATACATTCAAAAATGTACACTACTCCTTCTCAAATAAAGTAATTTCAACAAAATAAACAGAGCTTAGAATATTATAATCTTTGTTTGTAAATGACAAAATGAAAAATTTCATGACGAATGATAAAAAATTTGGCATATTAAAGTAAATATTTAATCAATCAATTTAGTTAAGTTATTCTTTTTGTTATTATTAAATTGTATTCTATATTGTATATAGCTACTACATCAATTTTATACTACTACACTCATTTTAGTGTAAAATTTGTTTTAATTCTAGTTCATATTTCAAACTTAATTAAAAATTATAGTTATAAAGAAAGAATGCTTAGAAAAAAACAAGAAAATTATATTAGATTCTGAATAAAAATATTATTAACATAGAGCAGAGGAAAAAATTATATTGTATAGAGAATTATGTACCTATGTCATTGGGTTGAGCGGCTCTCTAGTGAAGTTTGTTCTCAAGAGGGAATTTTACTAAAAAATTGTAAGCAATCAAAAAGAAAGCTTTGATTTTCGTGAGAAAACTAACTATTTACATACTGTCTATTATGTACGTCGTGAACGAACTTCAGTTGACAAACTTGGTTAATAACCGAATACGGTGGAATTCACAGTGTGCTAGAATGATTCTCCTCAATATATGCACATATTTTATTTTCTTAATTTATTTTTAAGCCAACTTATTATGAACGAATGCATTTTGAGTACAGTGTAATCTGACAAACGATTGATCAATAGTAGATTTTCGATCAAAATATTTGTATTCGTCAAATTTCGGCGATTAACTCTCGCTGGAGAATCGCACGAATTTCAAGCAATGCACAATAGGGAAGGAGGGACAGTTTATCTGCCGACGACCTCACCCTAATCCAACCGAAATTTTCTACCGATAGTGACTATTTCAGCAGTGGTCTAATGAATTCCAGGTCCGATCCGGAGCTGAACGTTATTGCACTGCCGAAACTAAACCGACATTAACCGACACGGTTTACGACACAGCACGTGAGATCAAGGGGCCGAATTTCGGTGTAGGCCTCTTGACGCCAGGGACTAAGGCGCCCAAAACGTTTGAAAAAACGTCCTCGAGGGGAATGCGTTGGGTAGGAGTTACGGGTACGCGCGACCGGTGATCGGTGCGGGATATTACCGTGCAGTTGACGACGGTGAACCCGTCAGCGGCGGACGACTGCCCGTTGTCCGGGTGGCCGACGAACATCATGTCCAGCGCGCCGGTCTCGATCTCGTCCACGTTGACCCGGTCGAGGATGACGCGGCGCAGCGGCGAGGCCGCGGTCACCGTGCCGGCCACCAGCCTGATGGAGTCGATCCGGCGGAGCGTCAGGTACCGGAGCGTGCGGTTGGCCGGCCCGAAGCCGTCCAGCACCAGCTCGCCAATGTCCTCGATGGTCAGGCTCTCCAGCGCCGGGAACAGGCCGGCCGTGTAGTGAAACAGCTTCATATCGCGCACCGTCACGCGCGCCAGTGACTTGGACGCCGTCAGCCCGGACGGCGGTAGCGACACCAGCCCGTAGCCGGCCAACGTCAGTTCCCGCGCGGACGACAGCACCTCTGCGTCCTGCGGCCGGAACGAGGGCAGCTGAAAAAAAAAAACAAAAATCGCACGTTAATACCGGGTTTCATTTTTTATCTTTTTTTTTTTTTTAATCCATTTTATAGGGACGCACTCCTAAAGAGTAACGTACGTTGATATATGCATGCATTTCGTGCGATAACAATCGTTACGTACAATCGTAGTTGTGTCAACAGTTTCTCGTACTGTTCATAATCATTAAGACATTTGGCCCAGGACCCGTGTTGAGCCTAAATAAATACTTTTTTATCTAGATAATGATGAAGATAGTATACTAAAAATAAAAATAAACTCAACTAAAATGATCTGTATAAAAGATAATCATAATTCATTTAAATAAAAAATAATGATTTTTATTAAATTGTTAAAATAAAATTATCCATCCTATCACCAATGACACATTTTGTACTTGTTTGATATGCTTGTAATGTGTTTCGATTTTAAAGTGCTTTATTTGTTTAGAGTCAATAATTTAGGTAAAAATTTGATAGTATATTTTTTTTCTGAATCTTATTTAAGTGTTGTCATTTTCCGCGATAAGAACGATCATGCTGAAAAACCAATGGCAAAAACTTATTGATTACGGTTATATATATTATGGTAGGTCAAAAAAAATGATTTTTAATTTCTAACTCTGATATTATTTTTGTATGAAGAAGCTCTTTAAGACTCTCTGTAGAAAAATTTTCCATTATTGGAGGAGACAAAAGCTTACAGTTGGTCCAATCAATAAGTTCAGTGTAGTTTGCAGCTTTAAAGTTAATGATTTGGGGTGAACATTTCTTACCGATTTTACTTTGGGTGTCTGCAAACTGGTTTTTAGTAATTTTCGAAAAGCTAGCTCCCTTACATGGACTCTATCATCCACTACCATTGCTAACAACATATTTTCTAGGTGACAAAAAAAACATTCCTCTGAATCACAGAATCAATTATTTGACGCAAATTGTCAGCCAGCTGTCGTGTCGTCTGAATAACTTTGAATATATGAGTTGGTCCATATTTCACAAAATGATTTCTCTTAAAGTCAAACTATACTAGAGAGTACGTCTTCATAATGTAGCTATTCAGCGTCTTAGCTCATAGGAAATATTAGTTTCAGAAAATTAGGGTCTTAAGACTATTTGCACATGTTAACCATCTAAAACGATTGAGAGGGCCTGGATCTTTCACAGCAAGGTCAGGCGTGCACTCTCCTATTATAACAGCATTGTAAATATCAAGTAAGTGCTGTTGGTTCTAGCTCAAATCAGTTTTGGTTATATTGATATCTTCATAATCAGTTGTTTCAAAATTAGCAATTAGAAGTTTTTCGCAGTAAACCAACTGCTTGCCAATTTTCTCGAAAAAACAAGTTAATCCGGTTATTTCATCATGTAAATTTTGAAACAAATGTTTATAAGGAAGTTCATTAAAATGCAGTAAACATATAAACCACTGCAAAGGATGGCCCATTTTAACCTCAATATTACGGATAACATCGTTTTCCTATCCAGTGTTTGTCGCTGTCCCTTCACAACCAATAGACATCAATTTTTCGAAGTCTACATTTTTGTGTTAAATAACACATAATGCTCTTAGCTATTTCGCTTCCATTTCCACTTTTTAGCGTCAAACGCCCCATGTATTGTCCACCAGGCTCTTGAACCAAACTGACATGTTTTTCTTTATTCGATTTTCGATACATTTTGCAAATGTACAGAATACCGAACTGCAACTTTGCCGCACTAGTATAATACCGAAATTAAAAAATCAATTTTTTGACCCACTCTAGTATATATATACCAATACATTTGGTCGTTTAAGGCATCACGATATTTTATAATTTATAAATATAAAATTAAGGAAAAGAAAATGTCTCAAATTTTATGATTAATATTTAAAAATATATTGTAAGAATATTTTAAAATGCACTCTTATAATGATTAATTATAGTTGATTTGTTTATATAAATTTTTTAATAGTTTGGTTGTTTGGTTATAATATTTAATCGACCATATATCAACTATTTAACAACTCAATTTAAAATAGTATAATATTGTGATAAATGTAAAAATTATAATTATATGTAACAAATATTATCGCAAGAAATTCATTTAAAAAAATCAACATTATAACAAATATTAAGCAATCAAAATAAGGACGAACACGTTTTACATTTGTATTACTTGTACTAACATTTATACATTAAATATTTCAATATTAAATGGTTAAAGAAACACTAATGATTGTACGATGATTGAATGCTTTAACTGACAGTCGTTCTGTAGTGTACACCATACTGTTTAGCCACCAGAGGGAAAGAGAATATTATAATTTTCAATGCAGATAATGATCCTATTGATACCCACATTTACAATTTATCGTTTCGTTTAATAAATATAAATATATACTCATATTAATATATATTTTAGTTTATTTTAAATATGAACTTGTTCAAGGAAAATATTGCAGTTAATTCAAATGCATTTTTTTTTAAGTAATTAGGGACATATTTAATCAGCATTAATGGTGATTGGTAACGTGTTACAATGGTTAATAAAAAATTTAACGATGAAATGTATTATTATACTGGTCTATTTAGAAATAAGCCTTGAAAAACAACAAAAAATAAAGTACTATTCCCCAATACCCTACATGCTTATACTACCGAGTACATAAAATCTAAATCCAGTTACATGCCAGTCGGTTTTAAATTTTATTAATTTTGACAGTTATCATTGTGCAAGCGTTTTCCTTTAGTCTCGGTAAATTTATCAGTTTACAATATATAAATAAATCTACAGGAGGAAATATTACGCTATCCCTCCCACCCTTCGCCAATATGATTAGGCTATATTCGTGGATAAGTATTTCGCTTGTATTACGTTAGTTTTTCTTACATGAAAAAATGCAGGTAACAGCTCATTTTAATGATTTAACTTTGCGTATTTTTATTAAAAAATTTAAAAAAGTAATGTAAATTAAAATTATTTATTTTCGATTTTATGGCCAATGTTAATCATGGGCCTGTGAAAATAAAAAATGCACCCCTAGTATAAGAGTTGGTTGAGAAATCCTTAATTTGAAATACGGTGATGAAATGGTAAACGCTAAAGGGCGGATTTATGTTTATAACAATGTGATTAATCAGTAAAGTTAAACATAAAGCGTAAAAATAAAAACTATTATACAACTGGCTTTAGGTTTTTTGTTTAGTGGAAAATACAGATTGACCTCTCAGAAGAACAAAACAATTAATTTTTTACTATAATGTGCACGTGATGTTTTAATATAAATTAAATCATAAAAGCCTTAAGATTCAATGAGTTTTTTCAAATTCCTTGAAAGAGACCGCGAGACGCACAAATCAATGACACCGGAGAAGCAAGGAAAATAGTTGTAGAAAACTTTCTATAAATTAAATTAAAAACAAAAAGATGGCATCGCAAGAGTTAGAACAAGGATTATACTATAACCAGTAAACATATTGAGTTTAAGTCAGAATTAGTCATACGATCGCGTGTTAATTCAGTTTTTGCTTTCAGATACTTACAAAACGTATTTCAGCAGTCCGATTTACAAAACAAATACAACCGTAACAAAGGCATGAATAATATATTATTAGTGTTCAATCGACATGACAAATCACACGGAAATCATTAAGTTTGCCATAGTTTCGATAAACGTTGACAAACGTTATCCGTTCGGATATCAATAACATTCGACTGAAAAGAAAAGAAAATCACACGGCATCAAAACGAAACGCAGGAATTCCCTGTTTCTTTTAAAGTTTTACAACTAATTTTATAACTTTTCTGAGAATTTCGCGATAAAATGATTACGATTGAGAATATCGTTTAAACTTTATGTCGTATATTACAGAAGGTGAATGAAATATGTATGTTTTTTACAAACTGTAATGCATTTAGAAACAGAATTCAAAGTTCTTATAAACATATAAACTTTTATTTCTTAAGTTAAATTTTAAAACTTGAAATTACCTTCAGTAATTCTAAATAAATGGCCAGATAAAATCAATTAAACTATTCAAAATAAACATAATACTGTATACAAATTTCATAATTTTCATTTAAATTTAAAAAATTGTCCACGATTATCGAGGAATTTTCAATGAAAACAGTTAAAATGTTGATAAATGTATCATGATATATATGAAACGTAATGTATAGCAATAAATGAGTTTTATATAGATTAAAAGGAAAATATTTTAATTAATTTAATACAACTATTTATATTTAACTATTAAGGACATACTGAGTTGTGTTAGTTATCTCTAACATACTTTATTAAAGTATTACATTTTAAAAAGAGTAATCTACTTTAAGTCCAAAAATTCCTATATCATTTCAAATAACTAATAAGTAATGAAGTTATCTATATATAAAAAAAAAAAAAAAAATACTTCATTGAAATTTAAAACTAAGTCATAATTGCAATAATTCGTTGTCTAACTAAAAAATCGTAGTCGTCCAAATATAACCTGCGAAATTTCTAATTTAAAAGTTAAATTTGGTTCCTGTTTAACTTATTTAATAAAAATTAATCAATTAAAATATAGTATTGAATATGATTTAGGTACCTTAATTATTCCATGAACTAAAATATAATTTTTACTTGTCTAAATAAAATATGTAATATTTTTCATGACGTATAAAACTATATTGTTCCGGTTAGATAAATATTTATTTTTCTTTCGGTTAGTTTTTTTTTTTCAATTTTACCATTATAATATTTAACATCATTAAAATAATCCATTCGTTTTAAATACTTTTTTTTCTTGGAATACGATTGTTACTTCAAAGCTAAATTTATGCTTATCATTTTATCTAGACGGTGTGCTCACAAAGAAACCGTATTAATCTCACCCTTCATATAAAAAGAAAAATGCTTTTTCTAATGTTATAATGTGTCCATTGGCTGTGATCAGGTACATTACTCAATACATTGAGTATATAGGATTCTAACGATTTGTCTGCATACAATGGCAACGGACAAAACCATTT